AGAGAGAGTGCGAGGGCACACACACAAATGCACCTAACGGGCAATCAGTAATGCTCCCTGAAAAGAAGAATGAATGAATTCATTACATGGGTGAATTGACTGTTTTACCTAATATAATCACTTAAAAGAAAATAACAAAAATGACATTAAGAAACACGCAAAATAAATTTAAAGGTTAATGTAAGAATTGCACATGCAAGGCAGGGGAGAGAAACACTCTTTCCAACTGAGAAGGGTCTACGCGCAGCCCTTTAATTATTGCCATCTGGAACGAAGGTGAGCGCCATTTGGCTCGGAGCTCCCGCGTGCCCCTTCACGCGCGGCCTGCATGGCCTTCCACGGTCACATGTGCAGAGGCCTCTGAGTGAGGCAGGCGATGTGCACGGCGTCTCCCAAGCCGCAGAGCTGTGCCTTGGCGCGGGTCTCTGAGCGGCGCTCCGACCGGGTCTGAGGCAGGGAGGGCGGGACACACGACCCCATTTCACGGATGAGGTAACTGAGGCTTGATATGGCTCTAGCAAATTGCCCGAGGTCACTATCCTAAACTCACAGAGCCAGGATGAGATCTGGGTGGGAATCTAACTTCCACGCTTGCAGGAGCCTTCATCCTCTGGTTGTCTTGTGCAAGCGCCTCCTCTGGCCTCCCTCCCCTTCTTTGCTCCCAGGAAGGCTGCCCCTGCCTAAGGTGGAGAGGGGGGGGTGGTTTGGGGGAGGGCAGCCAGCAAAGGCATGGAGGAGGGGAAGAGGGCAGCAGACTTGAGAATTTGCTGCAGCTGGGTTTTTAAGAATAAAAAAAATACATATAGGGGAAGCAGGGGGCCCTTCCTTCCCAAACATGTCCTTTTGGCCTAGATTGTTGCAAGACGCCAAACTGGAGCCTGCCCTGTCTCTTCCAGAAGAGCAAAGGGTGTCTCCTTAGCCGCCAAGACCTGTCTCTCTGCTGCCTCCCCGAGGTGGATGTCTAACCAGTGGCGCTGAGAGCATCTGGGGGACACGTTATTTGATCAAAAGTAGTTGCATTTGGCATTTTATGATGGCGAATGAGGTATTTTTAAGTCCAAGGGTGGTGATGTTGGCGGAAGCATCATGGACAGGGGAAGCAAACTGGTATCTACGTGATGTGTCTATTCCAGGGAGGACCGCCCCTCCCCTGCAACCAGGATTGGAAGACCCAATGTAATCAACCTGCCATCAGGTGCCCGGCTGGACCCCCTGGGCAGGGGCTGCACTGGGGGCTCACCTTTGGTCCCCGCTCTTTGCCGATCAGGAGTGCTACAGGGGCCGCACCATGCCCCCACCTGGCCCTTGTGAATTCCCTGTCACTGAACTGTCTTGGGACCATGCCCAGATGGTACCTGAGGCTCTCAGGGAGTTTGGACATCAAAGAAGTTTCCTTCCACTGGGATATAGGATGTTTGATTTCCTTTAGCGGGAATCTGTGCTGTCGAGTGTTGTGATTACATAGGCCTCCAAATGGCACTCAGAGTGTACCCTGTTTTTCATGGCATTTCCGAACCCGCTATCTGAATGATTCTCTCTATTGGATTATAAAACCATTGAGACAAATCAATTTCCAAACAACCCTCACAGCTTCCCTGTCATTGGATCTAATTGAATCAGGGCTATGAATTTGTTATTGACTTTACCTCACCCTTTATGGGACTCATGAAAATAGCCCCTGCACTTGATCTTAAAACACTAATATTTGACAGCCTGGAGCTCTCATCAAAATAAAAGCCTCTTCATGTGCCCGAGGGGCCAAACTGCCATTCTGGAAATCGGAGCTTTTGATAAATTGCACAGTAATGAATTCTCCTGTCTTCTTTCTATGTGGTCCTTGACTAGTCTTTCATGCTTACCTAGTGAGGCTTTTTAAGTTCTGTCAAAACGTTTTTGTCACCACATTACTTAAGTTGCAGCGAGAGCTAAAGCTTCCTAAGAATAAAGACTTTCACAATGACAAAAGACAAAAACAAAAATCTCGTCCACCAGCATAAAGCGAATGCTTCCTCACACGCCAGCCTTGGTCTGGGGGATTTACATCCTGCACTCAGTTCTTCATCACGCGTGCATGCGGCGAATGAGCGCTGCAAGCTACGGCGGAGCAGGCATTCCGCTCGGCTCCGGGATGGGCTGCTGAGTCCCAGCTCCTGCGTGGTGAGAAAATAGGAAACACGTAAACAAAATGCAAAGATAAATGATAAATATAGTGAATACATAAACGGGGAATGGATTGAGGGGGAAGGACAAAATTGGAAAAGGTGCTCCAACAGGAAGGGCGGAATTTGGGCTGGGCCAGTACATACATGTATGTGCTTGTGTGGCGGGGGGGAGGAGGGCTAACAGAAGTTCTGAGCATGCTTTGGGGTACCCAGGTTCCATTGGGAGAGTTTTTATTTTTATTTTTATTTTTTTAAGAGGGGATGGGAGGGAGAAAAATTTCAGTGTGAGAGAGCTGTACCAATCAGTATGCCCCAACCGGGGACCTGGCCCGCAGCCCAGGATGCGTCCTGACTGGGAACCGAACCCATGATCTTTTGGTTTACATACCAGCACTCATCCCACCGAGCCACACCAGCCAGGGCTGGCAGGAGCTGTTCAGACCCAAGTGATTCCCTTTCTCTGAGCTTGTGCTCCCCTCTGGAGTTTGCACTGACTTACTATGCTCCAACTCACTGCTGAGCCTTAATCTACTCAAAAACATGGACCCAGGCCGTTCATAAACATTTACGGGGTCTTACTGTGCATGGAGCACTGTGCTATTTATTACACGTAAACCTCACAAAACCCACCCAGCAGCCCACTGACCGATGAATAACCTTTCTCCATAGGGCTGTTAGGACTCCTCTTATTTTATCAAGTTCTAAGCAAGCTATTCTGTTGCATCAAACAATTTATTTTGGGGCCAGTATAAAACCGTTTTGATGCTTTCAGCCTTATGGTATAGGTTAACTCCCTTGTCGACACTCCCGGCCTCCTGGATCTGGACTTGCTGCGGTTCTCCCCTCCAGCAGTGCTTCACCAAAGTCCTGCTCTGACCCCCCTCCCCAACCCCCTACACTCACACTTCCTTCTCTCCTCCCCCATCATTTCTCCCTCCCCCTCCCTCTCCTCTCCTCCCCTCCTTTCTTCCACCCTCCTTGGCGCGCTCCTCCAGGAGAATTCGAGCTGGCATTCCAAGGCAGGCACTCTGATCTCTCTTTTCTTACAGGCTCGGGATAGATTCTTGGCGTGGCCTTGCTCACAGCCCCTCCCTCAAACAAGCCAGCAGACAGAAGGGGAGACTATGGGGAGTCAGGGAGGCACCTGCACTGCAGAAATGGAGGGTTGTTCTAACCCACCTCGGTGGTGATTGTGGGAGGGAGGGGGAAGTTAGGTTCCGCGTGCAGGACCCTCGCTGTGCCTGCCTGTGGTTTACACCCGCGCCCCCGCCCCCCCCCCCCCCCCCCGCCGTCCCCATCCCCCAGCCTGAGGCCCCACCTTCCTCCGCTCTGGGCTGTTCCAGAAGCTCAAGGCACACCTCATTCACCTATGCACCGGCCATCCTGCCACCAGGAAGGCTCTCCTGGACATTGACAGCCTTGATCCAGCTCGTCATTTAGGCCTTACCCCAAAATGTCACCTCCGCAAGGAGGCCTCTTAGGACAGGCCGACATAAAGAAGCTCCCCATGTGTGGCACAGCACCCTGTCTTGTCTCCTCACAGCATCACCGATGTTGGCAATGACACGGGCTGTGTCCGTTTTTCCGTTGCTGCCTTCCAGCCCTCACTAGGACGCAGGCTGTCTGGGCGCAGGGACCTCGGGTGGCCTGGCCTGGGAACACTGCCCCTCTCGGTAGAAGCTCGCTCGGCTGCGTGTAGGAACTGATTCTATGAATGAGCACAGAAGCTCAGGCCCGACAGGGAATGACTGGCCTAGAGCACAAGTGAGCAGCGAAGCAGGAAACTAGGATTCGGATTCCGTGCCCTTCCGATCCCTCCGGCCCTGTGTCCACCCAGGCTGGCGGAGGTGCTGCCGTCCACCAGAACCGTAACCCATGCACTAAAGGGCGCGGGGGCTTCGCGGTCCTCTCGGCCTTGGCCAAACCAGCAACTTGGATTTTACTTCCGAAGCCCAGAAGGCAGGCTGGGAGGTGACCAGAATCGTAAAGCTGCAGTGGCCAGGAGAAGGCAGAGAGGGAGACCACCCAGCCCCCCACCGCCCGAGCTGCCCTCCCCTTTGCCTCTTCCACCCCCGCCCCCCACGCCCCGCCCGGGGAAAGCCCAACGCCCACTGGGGCGCGGGGAATGCCGCGAAGGGGCGGGAGAAGCGGCCCAGGCTGTACCCGGCTCACGGGGCGCGCAGAGGTGGGCGCCGCGGGGAAGGCGGGGCGCCGGCGGGGCGGGACAATGCGGCCCCACCCCACGAGAGAGGGAGGGAGGGGGGCGGTGTGAGCTCGGCCCGCGGCGCTAGCTCGCTCGCTCGCTCGCTGGCTGGCGGCTGCTGGTGCGGGGCTGAGGCTAGAGCGGGCGGGAGGGGTGCGTTGGGAGCGCGGAGGAGGGAGGAGGAGGCGGCGGCAGCGCGTGTGGCAGGCGGGCGGGCGGGCGGGAGGGCGGCTGGCATCGGGCTTGTAAATAAACTGCGATGCTGTCTCGGGCTCGCCGGCCTGGGTGCCGCCGCCGCCGCCGCCCGGGAGCGCCGGGGCCAGGCTCTAGCCGCCGCGCGCCCTAGCGCCTCCGCGCCAGCCTCGCTCACCCTCGCTCGCTCCCCGCAGCCCCCCGCCCGCGCCCCTCGGGGTCCCGCAGCTGACCCGCGCGGGATGTGATCCCCTTTGCCCCCCTACCCGGCCTCCCCTGCCCCCCGGGGGCCCGCCTTTGCCTGCTTTTGGGGCGGTGGGTGGGGAGGGGCGCGCGGATCATGGCATTGGAGTTCCCGGGCTTGCAGCCGCCGCCGCCGCCTCGTCCACGCACCCCGAGCGCCCCTTCTTCCCGGAGCAGCAGCGGAGAAGGCGAAGCGGCCGGCGGGGGCGAGGCAGATGGGGCTCAAGGCGCGCAGGGCGGCGGGGGCGGCAGGCGGCGGCGGCGGCGGGGGCGACGGAGGCGGCGGGGCCGCTAACCCGGCCGGAGGGGACGCGGCGGCGGCCGGCGACGAGGAGCGGAAAGTGGGGCTGGCGCCCGGGGAGGTGGAGCAAGTCACCTTGGCGCTTGGGGCCGGAGCTGACAAAGACGGGACCCTGCTGCTGGAGGGCGGTGGCCGCGACGAGGGGCTGCGGAGGACCCCGCAGGGCATCGGGCTCCTGGCCAAGACCCCTCTGAGCCGCCCTGTGAAGAGGAACAACGCCAAGTACCGGCGCATCCAAACTTTGATCTACGATGCCCTGGAGAGACCGCGGGGCTGGGCGCTCCTCTACCACGCGCTTGTGTGAGTACCTGGCCTTCGGGGCGCCCCTTGGCGGCGGCGCAGGTTGGGGTTCGGGGTGGAGGCTGGAGCTGAGGAGGGCTCTGGGTCTTTAAATCGAATTGGAGCCCAGCCTGCCCTCGATACTTGTGTCAGGTCTGAATGCCTGACAACCACTCTCTGGTTGTTGGACCCCAAGGCTTAAAAGGTCCGTGCGTGGTTCCTCAGACAGTTTGGAGATAGGATTGGCGTGTCAATGTGCGTGCGGGTGCGCATGTATGGTACCTTCTCCGGATGCTGGTATCAACGCGGAAAAGAATTAGGTGGTTTTCCCAATTACCGTGGAGGTTTGACGGGATAAAGCGGATCCTCCCTCGCGCGCTGTGTTTCTGCTTTGGGGCGGGTCCCCTCTCTTGGGATCGCTAATGAGTTTGGATGATACATCCTGGAGTTGGGGTTGGGAGTTGCCCACTGTGTGTGTGTGTGTGTGTGTGTGTGTGTGTGAGAGAGAGAGAGAGAGAGAGAGAGAGAGAGAGAGAGGGAGGGAGGGAGGGACGGGGGGGTGGGTGGGAGAGAGAGAGAGAGACTCGCTTGCTTGGACTACCCTACTTAGGACTTCAGGCTGGTATAGAAAAGATCCCGGTGTTGCTCTAGCTGGGGGCTTGGACTGGTCACAATGCTTTGGGTCCTTTTTAGGGAAGTTAATAAGAGAAGGGAAAGTGTTTATGTCAGGCTCTTAAGCCTAGCCTGAGAGGCTGGGGCTGCACGGTGCCAGGAGGTGAGGGCCCTGGGGGGCTGATTTTGGCTAAAACATCCCTGTGACTCGGTCCTGAGATCCCCCAGCCCCAGCGGCTGCCTTTTCTCTTGACCTGGCTGGGTGAAGGCGGGGGATGTGAAGGGGCCTGGGCTGGAGCCTTGCCCTCAGGCATCCTTCCCTAGAAAAGCCTTCTTGCTTGTCAGGGTGGGGATGTGTGGCCAGAGGAAGATGGAACACCCCCCTGCACCTGACCCTCTGGGTCGAGAACCCACCTGTACTTGGGCAGAGGGATGGGATGGTAGTAGTGGCTTCTCAACCCGCAGCGGCAATCGGGGCTGTGGGCTCCCGGGTCTGGCAGGGCACTTCCGTTGCCCCTTGCCTCCTGTCTGTGGCTTAGTCATCCTGATGGCTGCGTCTTAAGAGGCTGTACCTTACCAGGGCTGGGGTGGAGAATTGGCCATGACCTTGACCCCTGTCGTGGGTTGAGCATTGGATATTCCTTTCTGCCCTCCTCTGTGGCTGGCCCCGCCGCAGGGAGTTGGGGAAGCCGCGGAGGTATACTACCTGCCAATCTTCCTCGGTTGGAAAGCTTTTCCAGATCTGGCCACCAGGTGGGGTAGTCTGCACAGAACGTCTGAGCCAGCAACAGGTTTCCTAAGGATGTTCCTGAAGCCCGGAGAGGGTGCCTCCCTGGAAGCTGAGAACCCAGCCGGAGGGAGGGGGCTTCCAGCCAGTAAGCGGGGTTTGGGCTGGTCCAGCCTTTGGCGTCCTCACGTGTTTGCAGGTGTTAGTGATGGGGAGAAGGGTTAGCAATCGTTCCTCTTCCATTTGTTATCTTCAGGTGGCAAAAAGGGATTAAGAGTGCATTCATTTCTCCAGCTCCAGCACTGCATTTTGTTAAATTGAACTGTACAGCACTGCATTTTGTTAAATTGAACTGAAATTAATACTGGAATATGTGATAGTAAAAAAGGCACAGAAGTTATTTGCGTGTACACAAACACACACAGACTCACATGTTCTTTTGCACATAAATGGGGTTCAGTACGTATTGGCTGGCTTTCGAACCTGGGGTCCCACTGGAGCTTGTGGGCTTAGTCTTTCTTCTCCCACCTTTTCCAGCCAGTCCCCACCCCTGCCCTGCCCAGTCTGGGGAAGGAACAGCTAAGACCTGTGACTTCCAGACCCTCGGCGATCCCTCCCTAGAATTATTCCACCCCTAGAGGCAGGTTTGAGGATGCCAACACCTGTACCTCAGTTTCCCAGAAGGATCCAGGGGAACTTGAGACTGTGGGAGTGGGAAGAATTGAATACCTAGCCGGATACTTTTAAATTGGACCTAGGACCATGGACCTAGGAGGTAGGAGTTATTATCTACATTTTGTAGGTGATGACATGAAAACATTCGGAGGTAAAACGAAGATCCCAACCCCGCACCACCGTCCCTAGAGCTCACGTCAGAATGCAGTGGGTCGACGCTGTTTCTGAGCCCGCATCCTGGCTCTGACCCTCTGTCAACAATGACAGGACTCTTGGAATTTCACTAGGTGTCAGTGGGTGCCCCTGACCCCACTGGTAATGCAGGGCTCTTAGTAAGGCCTCTGTCTCCACTTCCCAGCTCCCAGTTGGCAAATGGCTGGAGATGGAATTTGGAACCAAAACAGGGGCCAGTCCAAACGAGGGAAGCGTGGGCTGGGCTGGAGATGGGAGCGTGGGTTCCCGTTAGTGAGGAGTTGTGCAGGAGGGCCGCGCCAGGTTGGGCCTGAGCTCCTGAGTGTGCAGCACGCCTAGTTAGTGGATGCGTCGTGCGTCCTTCCTCCGGCTCAGGAGGAAGTCCAGTCAAGCGAATTCAACTGAACCTTTCATTGATGATTCGGGATGTTGCGAGGCACTGAACTGTGTGCTTCGGACCATCCATTATCCTATTCTGTGCTGTGGCTAATGGTGTAAGGGGGCCAGGAAACTGGGCTAACCATGGGTTCAAGGTCTAGTGCGTTCTTTTCTTTTCTTTTACATGAACCAGACTCAGGAGATGTGATTTTTCTCCCCTCTCTTTTAAAGGTAGAATGCAGCAAATGTGGACATCAAAGCCCCCCCACCCCCATCCTGCCACACACATACATTGACAATACTCCCTTTGCCTTAAATGCCCTTCCCTATTTTCTCCTGGCTACTCACTGGGCCCAGCTCTGGTGTTGCCTTCCCTGGTAGAAGCTTTTCCCTGACCCTCCAGATTGAGCTACAATTGTGCCCTCTCTGCAGCGTCCCCAGCCATAGGATTTGGCACATGGCATTAAATTGATCTGCCTGCTCATCTTCCCCATTGAACTTGAGCTGCTTGAGAGTAGGGACCGTGTTGTTCTTTAGCATTTGCCGTCCTCAGCAGGCTACATGGCCCGTGGTAGTTACTCGGTGAGCATTTGCTGAATGGATGAGCGAAAGACTACTCCGAGGTTAACTACGTTCTGTATGGCTTTCCTGTTATCACAACAACAATACTAAGCAGCCAAGGTCAGCATTGTAGGGCTATAATGAAGCCCAACACCAGGCATTCGGCATTAGGTGATTCATTAGGTGATTTTGCATAGGGATCTACTTAAGTTCTACACACTGGCCACTTTGCTGCCCCGGCATTGCCCCCCCAACTAGCCTGTTAGTGGTGACCTGCTGGCTTATGGCATTGTGGCTGGGTTGGCGTTGTACAAGCACCCTGCTGCCCTGACCACCTACCTCTCCATGGCTAGCTGGGCGCGACCTATTGCTCACCTCTGGCCAGACCGAGGAGGAACGATCACAAGAAATACCCATAGATTGCCTCTCCATTTTGTTACGACCATGTTTTTGACAAGGGATTACTATCCAAGATATTACAGGAACTCAACTCAATGGCAAGGAGACCAACAATTTGATTTAAACCAAGGGCAAAGGACTTGAATAGACATTTTTCTAAGAAGACGTACAAATGGTCAACAGGTATATCAAAAGGTGCTCAACATAACTGATCATCCGGGAAATGCAAATTAAAATCACAGAGAGCTACCACCTCACACCTGTTAGTCTGACTTTTCTCAAAAAGATGAGAGGTAAGTGCTGGCAAAGAGGTAGAGAAGAAGGAACGCTGTGTGGTGTTGGTGTGGTGGGAAATCAGTGCGCCGCTATGGAAAACAGCACGTGTTGAGCTGAGCACACTTTCTTTTTTTATAATTAAAAAATTTAATTACAGTTGATTTACAATATTATATTAGTTCAAGGTGTACAACAGAGTGATTAGACATTTATGTAACTTACACAGTGATTACCCCTGTTAGAATGGCTGTCACCGGTAAATCAACAAACAAGTGCTGGCGAGGATGTGGAGAAAAGGGGACCCTCGTGTACTGGTGGTGGGAATGTATGTTGGTGCAGCCACGGTGGAAAGCAGTATGGAGGGTCGTCAAAAAAGCAAAATAAGACTGCCTTCGGACCCAGCAATTCCACTTCTCGGTATTTATCTGAAGAAATCCAAAACACTAATTCAAAAAGATACATGCACCTCTGTGTTCATTGCAGCATTATTTACAATAGGCAAGATAGGGAAGCAACCTCGGTGCCTATTGAGAGATGACTGGATAAAGAAGAAGTGGTACATATGTACAATGAACATACTTTCCTAGATTCCTGGGTTCTAGAAAGACCATGTCTCAAGCTTCCTCTCTGCCTTGGGTTTTGTCTAGGTAATGACAAATATATAGTAGAAAGACGTGTTCATTTCAAGGCCACACATGCTGAGTCAAGTGGCAAGCCATGTGCCAGACTATTTTGAGGGACATATAAGCCATAATTCTTTGCCGATAGAGAGAGATTGGAAACAACTAAATTGAAATAGTTGAGCAAATGCAATAAAAGAATGCGAATGAGGAAGCAAGGTGTGCAGAAAGGGGAAGGCCCTGTTAAGCCTCCTGTGTTGCGTGAAGGTAAACAATCTGGAGATGACAAGACTAAAGCCAACATCGAGGGTCAGGCCCCCTCTAGTATTGCAGGTGCCCTGGGGCGCTAATGGATCCCATCCAAACTGTTAACATGGAAGAGATAAAGGAGTTTGCTTGAAACGTTTTCTTGAGAAAACAAATTGGGTTGTAACTCAGAAACAAGATGGCTTCTTGCACGTAGTTTACACATGAGTAAGAGTAACTACTTACACAGCTGGCCCGTGGAGCGTCCCATGCACAGGCTCTGCATGGCTCCCCGCTGTGGGCGTCTGTCAAGACCTCAGCACTGAGACCTCTGT